TTGATCGACGTTGTACAAAGACCAATTTCATGCGCGAGGGTAGTGATAACCCACGTCGGACACGACAGACAGGGTCTAGACAACTGGTTGGAGTCTGGTCTGGAGTCCAAGAACCGAGTCCCCAACTGTAAACATGTAGCCAAAAGATTTTCTAAACTCACCTTTACGGAGTTAGCCTTGGATGTCCTCAACGCCTGGAGTTCGCGGGCGGCAGTACGAAGGAACGCGTCATGCCGTGACCTGTGCAAAAGAAAAAAGCCTGTGATTATAATCAACACCCCCTATCGATGGAAGCTCTTTAGATGTGGTGTTAATCCAAAGCGCAGTTCCTTTTTAAATCAACCAACCGACCAATATGGTGTAGAGAAACTTTTTTAAAACAATGACGGTAAGCTAAAAGCCTGAAAGCATAGAGACCACTGGACTGCACAAAAAAGCGACCTCAGTGCCTCCGAATAACCATTACTTATAGTTTATGAAACTCAGATTTCGGCACCCTTTGTAAAACGGAATACATATAGATTGTTTATTCCACAAACGAACGTAAGATGGGGTGAATGTGCAATGAATTTTCTGTTTTACCAGGATTATAAGGTGGAAGGGGTCTACTCACTCGCAGAAAGCGTCAAGAAGTTCCTGGCGGAGGCTAGGCAAGAGGTGCCTGTGAGTGTAGGGATAACCCAGTGCAGTCATGGCAGGGCTTAGGGTAGGACGAATGTTGGCGGGCGCACTGCCCAGGTAGTTGACATCTGGAGGGAAGGTGTGGAGGAGGTCGAGGATGTAGGCTCGGTTGTCATTACCGATGATGCCCTTGCAATCTACGGACGAAAGCAGCTCGATTTCCTTGCCAGACTTGTCAGTAACACTAAAGTCGGCATAAAAGAGAATTACAACTAATTGAGCCAACCTATAGAGTACAGGACCTGCAATGACAAAACAATCCAGGTGCAAAATGCGTAGGTTAAATGTACTCAAGAGTCGGTGACAACCAACTGAAATGGGAGGCGACCACTTGTGATACATTTAACTTGAAATTAGGGCGCGCACCCGAGTAGATATTCTGGGGAAAAACTTTTTCAGGCTTCTGAAAGTAAATTTGAACAGTTGAGGCAAGATCCAGTAGTTTCGGTGGAATAACCACATAATATTCACAATGACAGCTAAAAGCCTAGACACGCGTAGATCGCCGCCTTTTTCACTGCATGGGGCGACTACAAGGGGTTCGACTAACCAGCGGGCAACCCAGGGTTTCCATGTGCCTTCTGGCGTCCGTTCGAACCTCAGAGGCGGGTTCCCCTGGGGTTGTGTGTGGCTGGCTGATGACGGCTAATGAGCCAGAAATGGCCATTCCAGTTCCCTTGTCTTTGCTGGCAACGTACTTCTGTCTGGTATGTACCCCTGTGTTCTATGTTGGGCAGCAGCATCAGATCTGGGTATTTATTTATTACCCGCACTGCTCTTTTGACGAAAAATTCAACATTCATTTGGTAAGTGGCGGTTTTCCTTTGACTTCTACAATCCCTCGAGTTCGATGGAACTTGAAAGAAAATTAAAAGTAGTTTATAAGGCAGATGATTGTATATAAAGGTTATTTTCAGGGTAATGAAAAAGGTCTCGGGCAAACAGAAAAAGATTTTGGTCGGCACAATTGCTGGTTGCAAAGACAAAAACAATCTGGTGACAGAGTAGACGAACTTTAGGGCGCTGCTCAAAGTCTTCTTCGCATTAGACAACATTGTACTACTATTTACAGCACGGCTTATTCTCTGTAGTTAAATTAAATGTGCACTGTTGGCTTTATAGCGATTGCATCTACGGCCAAAGGCGACTAGTGACTTTAGTCAAAGAGCCCGTGTCTGCAATCCGTGCAGAAGATGCCTCGGAGCCTTTGTCGGCGAAATTTAAGGATGCCCATTTCGCAATATTGGAGAGTTTGGTTTGTACGAACATCTAAAGGAAAGACAAACACTGGAAATTTCAAATGCGCGTTAAAACTGATGTGGGAGGGGCAGGTTGGGCTAGTACAGCAGATTCCCTTCTCGTATAAAGGTTAGCAACTGTGAGCTCTCACAGTGAGAACGACCAAAACGGGCGGAAATACGTCGCCCTAACGTAATTTGCATCATGTGAGTGTCAGTATGGAGACGTTTATGCGCCAAACTCCCTCACACACTCATTCGCAGGCGTCATAAGCAATTTGCAGCGGGAAAAGAAGGGCGCACAGATAATGTTTTGACCTAAAGCGTGGACTCGACGTTGAAATAGAGAACAGCGATACGTACTAATGTGGTCGGATTCGCAGGTTCTTAGCCGTTTTGCCCAAGAGATCATGGTAACGCGCATCGTCAACCACACTTTTGCCAAAGTCAATGGACCCGTAGACAACAAGTTGTTCCTGTTCCTTCTCGAGGATTCCTAGAAAATGGAAAGGAAAAAGGATTTAAGAATGACGTGATTCATGGGCTGATATTCGATATGGTTGCGCAGTAAATGTGCCGGAGCAAAACGGTGGAGGTGAGAAGGTTCAGAAAAGTAGAGACAGTACGGGACGCGAGTAGGAAATACAGAATGCTAACGTCTTCCAGTTCGCGCACCATCTGTGATTAAGCGAAGCGCAGAGCACGGCTTTCAGCAAGCAACTGTGTTAATCGATCACATTCACCGGAAAACTATAAAGGTCGACGCTAGCAGAAAACATGGCTGAGTTCGGCTCGTGGTTTTGGGTCGAATGAATTTCATTTCCCTCCAAAAAGTAAGGCCTGCATTTCCAAATGGTCCTTCATACAACTGTACTGTAATGTTGTTTAGCTCGCC